AGAGTGGCATGGACCTTTGCCTCAGTAGCTGGCTTTCCATAAAATGTGTGTTGGTCTGTGATGCAAGAAGCTTAAAACACACCCACAGAGAGGAATCGACAGGGCTTACTTCCCCTTTTTCTTGCTGCTAATTTTCATATCAGCCTTCTGGACAGTTTTGGTGATAAGTGGAAGCGGGCTAAACATTAATGCAAGGCCATATTTGGTTGTTACATATAGTTACACTGTAACCTGAGTGGATTTCTTAGTTTCTCACCGGCTTATTACGTTGTTAAAAGATATTTCAAAATGATAACTTCTGCAGGCATTAAAGCCTTTTCACTGTGAGTAAAATGTATAGCTTGTGTTTTAGTATATTACTGACCCACTGAGTTTTGTCAGGTTTATGCTGTGCACTCCATGGCTGTCACTCTCCTCAAAATTGGGGCCGTTTGCAGTCTTTTCATGGTTTTGGCTTCTTTGCATCTCCGGCCGCTAGGGGGCAGACCTCTCTACGGCTGAGGTCTATTGAAGGGGCGACTTTAAGAACTGCTTCCGGCCTCCTTCTTCCTCTTTCCCTCTGCATCGGGTTGCAGCCATGGTATGCTACCATTACACCTAAAACAAATCTAACTCAATCCTGCCGATTAAAGTACAATTTCTGTATTTGATACACCCGGTCATGTTGATAATGTTACAATGTGCGTAACGATGGCGGTATTGGCCATCTTTGGTATATTTAACGCTGTTATATTGATGGATGCTATCTTAGTGGCGAAACGCCACTGTTGGTTTTTCTACTCCAACCGGCCTTTCTGTCAGAAGCGAAACACTAAACAAGCGAAACATCACAATCAATTAACAGCTACGTCAAAACGTGTTTTGCTTTGTAAAAAGTATTGGAGCATCACTTGTTTACGCTGTTTTCTTTAAAATAGCGATGCTAACGTGTTAGCTTGCCCCAACACTGCCGGCCACAGTTTAAATGATAAACTCGGTGCTTCTGTGTATTAAGTTAATTTCGAAAATGATTGAACAAAACTCTTTGATAGCTGTGCACTTGATTTTTCATAAGTGTTGTGAGTTTTATGGCTTGGGCCTGTTGGACGTGGCTAGCTAGTCCGCGTTGTGGTATTTTGTGTATACTGCACGTCTGCTCAAATGTTATTCTGTGTTGTGCAGGTGAACGTCCCGAAAACCCGCAGGACCTTCTGCAAGAAGTGCAAGAAGCACCAGCCCCACAAAGTTACCCAGTACAAGAAGGGGAAGGATTCTCTTTATGTACAGGGTAAATATGTTTGTCCTGTATTTAAGGGATGCACTGGTGTCTAACGTCAAAAAAGTGTCTGTATATAAAACATTGACCTGTGATCTGTCAAAAACATCTTTTTTAAGTGATATCAAGTCACTATGAGCCAGGAAGAACGTTCCTGTCGCAAAATACAAGCAGTTAAAAGTTTATTTTTCAGTAGATTTGATCAAGATTTTAGAGCAAATTGCACCAAATTTAACAGCATTTCCATAAATATATTTTAAGTAGCCAAAAAAGACTGGATTGATAACGTGGATGGATTCTTGTAAAACAGGTCATTTCTTTATTTTATATATAACTCAGTAAATTCTGCTTACTACATCTACTAATACAAACAAAGATATACACAAAGTCACACGAGCATCAGCAGTAAATTTTTAGCACGACACTGGCCTCATCTATGGCATTATCTGATTATTTGTCGTCACATATTTTGATAAATCAATAGATTAGTGTCTTAGCACTTAATATATCTACAATCTTTTTCCTATCACAGAAGGGAAATTGTAAGATGTCTGCAAATATGGGCCAATATTTTGTTTTGAACCCATAATGCATCAGTGCATCCTTGCTTTATTTTAGTAATTGTTCAAGTATGTGTTGACTAAACTAAATGTTTTTCAGGTAAGAGGAGATACGACAGAAAGCAGAGTGGGTATGGCGGTCAGTCTAAGCCGATTTTCCGAAAAAAGGTAACCATTCAGTGCTGTAATAAAAGTGTCCTTTTCCAGATTTATATTTTTCTGCTAATTTTGTCACACTTTAAAGTTTGAGATCATCATCATACTAATTTTTTATATTATAAAAAAATAACCTAAGTAAATAGAAAGCACAGTTTTTACTTTGCCCTGTGTGAAATCATGATTTAAGTGTAATTAGCCACATTTTTTGGGTAGTTGAGTAAAATTTCAATAGCCTCTCCCAGGCCTGAATACTGCCATATCTGTTGATATGAAGACGTCACTTACTTCAATGTGTTGTACAGGTTTTAAGTTTTTAAAAAATATCAAAAAGCGGCACATCACGCCACAATCTAAAGGAATTAAGAAACGATAACAAACAAGACATTGATGTTATTAGTATGAAAAGGGTTGCAATGCAGTTCTCTGGCTTTGGAAACATGGAGAGAGCCATGGTCCACAAATGGATAAAACTTGTGGGCAGTAACGAACCTTCTCAGGAGTGACTAGCCTATCCAAATTACTCTTAACAGCACATCTATGGCTCATCTCGGAGGTCGCAAAAGATCTAAAAAACTTGCCTCAGTTAAGATCAGAGTTCATGATTCAACAGTGGGAAGAGAGTTGGCAAAAATGGCGTCCATGGGAGAGTTTCAAGGTGCAAACCATTACTGACCAAATAGTTTCACTTTCGCCCACCCTCCCCCTCCAAGACAGAAATATTCTGTGGACTGCCGAGAAAAGTTGAAATTTCTGGAAAATGTAAGTAGTGTTACATCTGGCACAAAACTAAAAGCATTTGATAAAAATACCAATCGAACATGGTGGCAGACGTGTGATGGTCAGAGGCTGTTTTGCCGCTCTGATTGATGGATCTATGAATTCTGCTCTCTGCCAGAAAATCCTAAAGTGTCCAGCCATCTGTTTGTGCCTTTATGTGCAAGTGCCCTCGGGTTATGCTGCAGGACTGATCCAAAACGCAACAGCAAGCCCTACTCAGATTATCTTTATCTAGTGTTAAAATGCTAAGGTGTGACAAATTCACAGGAAAAATGATCATGAAAAGGGTAAATACTATCTCACAGCATTGTACTGTTGGATTGATCGTGTTGAGATATATGTGAGGGGAAATGACACTCACTGAAATACTGTCAAACAGGCTAAGACTACAAAGAAGATTGTGTTGAGGCTCGAGTGTGTGGAGCCCAACTGCAGATCCAAGAGAATGCTGGCCATCAAGAGATGTAAGCACTTCGAGTTGGGTGGTGACAAGAAGAGAAAGGTAAGACTCGCATATGTCCCTGGTATTGTAAAGATTGAAGTTAACTATTCTTTACAACATATTCTTTATATTAACTTTATTTCAGTAGTACTTTTCATAGTGGGTTTAATCTCGGCTAAAGCTACAGTTTGGTGTCAGAATCATCCCACAGAAATCTGTCATCAAAATATTCTGACTTCTTATATTTGTAGGTAATTATTTTGTTACACATTTAATAACCTCATGTTCATAACCCACTATTAGTTTTTCATGCGACATATTGACATCTGTTATGTTAATTATGATAAATTATGGAACCAACACGGTGACAGCTATAAAAATGCACATTTTGCATATCAGCTGTTTTTTCACTTAAACATGGATTTCCTGTTTGGAAAAATAGTTTGCATAAAGCTGTTGTTACACATGCACACTAGCTTTGCACGCTAAAGATGGATATTGCAAGATATTCAAAGAAGGTGCACGAGAATGCAAACGTTGGATGCAGTTTGATCGGATATGTAATTATCTTGAGCCTATTCGCTCTCTAGTCGTCCCATTTCCTGTCAGAATTATTTGTTCTGGCAATTGTTTATTCTTCAGATGTACATATAAAAATATGGATTTTAGAGTATTTGTCGGCGCTTCTGCCTAGGCAACACTCTTCAAGAGGTGGAAAAATACCCCAACAGTTTTTTCCAGTAGTGTGAAAGCGTCTGACACGAGCTCTGTGTGTTGGTCGAGGGAAAGGGCCAACCCTGACCATGTCCGACTCGATTCTGCCCACCCTTTTCTGATGTAATTAGTGAGAAACCGCTTTTGAAATTGAGTTGTGAAAGAGGCATGTGTCTGCATGTATGAACGCATTTCACACGCTATAGCACCAGAATTGCATTAGGAAATGTTTGTTTGCTACACTTGATAAATGTGCAGCCCAGCTTAGATTTTAACTGGAGCATATTTCGCTTTCAGTCACAGATTGTTTTTCTTTTTGTTGTCGTTTTTTGTGGTTAGTGGTAAATTGTATTTGTTTTGATGAGATGGTGACTCAGGGCTGGCTGTTGATTTATTGTGGTGGTTAAAATACGATGCATGACTTGATCTCAATATATATACTGTCAATACAGTTATTAGTTTTTATTTATTTTTACAAGGTTTGCTGTTGAGCTTGTCTTCTTTGTTTTTTCTTCCTTCAATAGAAGCTCTAATACATGATTCTCAAATTCATGATTGGCTACCTTTATTTCAATTTCAAATCACAACAACAGTTGCCTCAAGGTGATTTGGCTCCTGTGTCCCCCCATTACTCAGTATTCATCTGTTGGGTTACCTCATTAATCAGACTTTACTCTATTTAAAAGCTTCTGTCTTCCTCATCAGCAGCACAAAAGTTAAGTCCTATCCACTCTGTATGCATATGTGGTAGGACTTTACAACAGGCTGGTAAAGCTGATGAATGTGAAGATTCTGGGTTTTATTTAGTCTTATTCAACTACAGTACAAAAGTCAGAATTGAATTATAAATTCATGGCAGTCACCAATGTAAAGTAATGCAAATATAAGTTGCACATTCTCACAAATGCTTCCCTCTGCTTTCTTACAGGGCCAGGTCATCCAGTTCTAAACTGTGGTCCAGTCATATGGATGAAGTTGTCACTATTTTCAATAAATGGATCCAAACATACTTTTGAGTGTTTGAGTTGAATCCTTTTCTTTTTTTTTCCTTGTACAAAAATTTGTCTCTTATGGTAATTTAACCTTTCAGTAGTCTAGACAGTTAACAGCAAGTGTTTAATTTATTGGATATAAATGGGATGAAGTGTGATCCATTTCCAGGCAGCTTTAATTTTAATTCACTAAGATTTACACAAGATAAACACCTAAAACTTATTCAGCTTCATTTTTTCCCAGACAATTGAGATATTGTACACGTCTCGGGTGCGTTTAACCACCTGAGGACTACAAAATGGTGTGCTTTCGTCTGACAAATGTACCCTGCCAGTTCAGCTTGTGAAGCCTTGTGAAATCGCTGCTGATGGGAGTGACAGTCAACAGAGCTGTGCCTGAAGGGTTGACAGATACAATTATTTTGCTCTGCTGAGTCTGAACTCCCATCTCCTTGTACTGAGGCAGGATCTGTGTGACGTTGCACTGCGGGCCACAGATCTTCCAACCGGGGGCAGCCCCAATGTTGAACCCTCGAGGACCACCTGTCTCCAGTTTGTTCAGCACAGCAACAGCCAGGCAGTTCTTCGACAGCGGCCTCTCCCACACTTCAAAATTGTTCCCCTGTAGAAAAAGGGGAAGTCTTACTGGTTTACACCTTCATCTGCCATTACCCACACTGATCATTTGTAATTAATGCTATAAAGAGCCTGTCAGGCTGATCACAAACCATGTAGCATTTCTAAACAGCAACGACAGGCTACCATAAATACTGAGCTGCCATTGCAGAAGGAGTTCGTACTGAGTCGCACACCCACCTTGGCAGTGCGATATCCCTGCTTGCCCATTGAATCTTGGCTGATGTCTATGATGCGTTTGTTCTGCAGGAGCTCCTTGGAGCGAGGACAAATGTCTCTGAGATCATTGGACATGAGCAGAGGAGATGCCATGATGGCCCATAACGCCATCTGAGACTCCTGCTGGTCGTGACTCAGGCCAAAGTTCCCAATTACAAGCTAGAGAAATAAATTCAATATGTAAATTCATAAGCAAATCAGGCTTAGTGATGATGCTACAGTGTGTCCACAACCTACAAAAATGTCTAAATACAATAGTAAGTATGAGGAGGTTTAGATTAGCATTAGATAAAAAGCAAAATAAGCAGGTTCATGATAGTAAAACCACTCATGTCCAAGGCCTTCAGTAGAACAAAGTACCATATCGGGGTCATTCCAGCCTCCGGGTCCAGCTGCAGGGACGATGATGTCCTGATGAGCGGCAGTCCAGTCCAAGATGGATTTGACGGAGCTCCACGAGTCGAACACGTCATCAAAGTTGCGCCAGTGATTACAAGTCTCACGGATAGCTGTGTAGTTGGGCTGGAAGCACAGAAATGCTCTTTATTTTGAGTATACTCCATTATTTCTGCAGCATCTTCTACAAAAAACCAAGTTAACCATTAAAACAAGTTCTCACCTGTTTTAAAGGCCACTCGTACAACGGCCACTCACAAGAGTACAGGACAGGCCGTCCAGTGTTGTTCAGTGCTTTTGACATGTTTGTGTAGCCTTAAACAGAGCAAACATTTAGTAGTTAACCCTTTAAACACCTTAACTGGTAAATAAAATGATGTTTAGGAAAGAAATTTGACCTCCTGTATAGATGGAGAGTACATGTCCACATTGTTTGTTTGCGCGTATATTTTTATATATATTTTATATTTTATATGTATTTTGTAAGCAGCTGGATAGCGTAGTGATAAGACTACACGCCTTTAAAGTTGGAGACGCAAGTTCGACTCCCGCCTGGAGCGTATGTATCCAGCTACACACCTCATGCTAACCAAGCCTACAGCAGAAAGAAACAAAAACATAGAGAGATGAAAAGAGCTTACATGAAACAACTAGAAGTGTTCGGAAGAAGACTGCTTTCACAGGTACAACACACATGCTACAGCAAGGGGGAGCCAGGATGCCAGGTCAGGGGGGAGATATCATCACCCGAGATTGGGTACCAAGTGGGAAGGATCATTAAGAGGAAGATTGTAGCTAATCCAGCCCCATATCAACAGGCCAAATATGGCCTGAACGGTCACGAGGTCAGAATGGGAGATGCCCCCAAGAATGGCGGAGTTTTTTTTGTACGTTCATATATATGTGTCTGTATGTGTATTTATACGGTGCCTGTTGTTCACCTTTGTGGCACTGCCAATCAGAAATAGAAACTCACCCTCTCCCAGCAAAGCCCGATTCATGAAGCAACCGTCAAATTTGAGCAGATCAACATCCCAGTCAGCAAAAGTCTGAGCATCTTTCTCGTAGTAACCAAGGCTCCCAGGATATCCAGCACAGGTTTTGTCCCCCACATCTGCGTAGATACCCAGCTTCAGGCCCTTAGAGTGGATCTTAAAGCATAAAAAAATATCAAAGATTTGTTGATTCATCTCAGTGAATGACAAATACCAGTGACATCCATTTTCTTTCACTTGTCCAATTCAAGGTCATATGGGTGCTGGAGCCCATCCGAGCAACCATGCCACTGTGCCTGTGCACGCTGGAAAAAGCTTGTACCATATCCCTTTAAGGGTTAAATAGTAAATGGACTGACATTAAACCAGTCACACACACTTTCATACACTCCCACTCCAATGAAGGCAACAGGGGCAACTTGGGGTCCAGCATTTTGCCCTAAGGATACTTAGACATACAGACTGGAGTGGCCAGGGATCGAACCACTAGATGACCTGCTCTATCTCCTGAGCCACAGCTGCACAGGCAAATTGCTAAAAAAGATGAAACCCCCCCAAAAAGCAAACAGATCATCCCAAGGGTCTACTTTACTGAAAAAAAACAAACAAACCACTGATTCTGCTTAAAGCATAAACTTTCTGAGCAGGCAGTATGTTTCTTCCAGTAGGTGGCAATGTTGCACAGCTCTAAACGTGATTCTTTTAATACAGAACTCAAGGTTGCCTTAGTGGGCCTAAATATATTCCCTTCCTGCTAAACAATATATTTTTAGCAATCTTTATACGTGAAGCCTTATACATCGAAATGCGCCTGGCATCATGGCTTCCAGCTCCTTTCTATTGCGAGTCTCCTGCGAAGAGAGTCAACAGCAGCACTTTCCTATCCAACACAATATGTGCTTGCACATCTTCCCTGGCTCCAGGTGCTATACTGGAAGGTAATTTGACAACAGATTCCACATCTGCTCCTTTCCTATTCATTATGTAAATACCTGCAGGTCAGCTTGAATGGGTATATGATGAATATGTAATCACTTATTTCTAGAGATATTCAACCAGGGCTACAAGAACTTTTTAACATCTGAAATTTTAGACAAGTTGTACTGACATGATAATACTGCATACCATAAAATCACAGCAGCATGTTGAACATAAAGTGGGTTTATCATTCTTTGAACTGTGTATATTATTCAAACTGCTGCCCCAAAGCTGGAAGCTACAATAAACGCAGTCACGTCCTCTCACATGGTCTCGTTTTGCTTCTCCCAGCTAGTAAAGTATTTCTCACTTTCACCGAGTCTCTCTGAAGCTCTTTCTGTTTGATGTCCATAGAGGAATTATGGCATTAATACTATATTCACATCCAGACTTTTCATTCCTCTCTCATAACTAATACTCACATAGTCGGCCAGTTTCTTGATGCCTCCTGGGAATCGTTTGGGGTCTGCCTGCAGGCGGCCCTGGGCATCACGCTGGTGGGAGGGCCAACAGTCATCGATGCAGACGTACTCGTAACCGGCCTCTTTCCAGCCCTCCTTCACCATCACATCTGCCATCTGCATGTACAGACGCTCACTGCCAAGGCAACAGGAGGAGACAGGCGGGGCTAATATTAGCCGTTAGAAGCCAGTGTACATGTAATGTGTAATGGATATATGGCACACACCAATATTTAGAGATGAAGGAGATATTATAACAGTGAACAAAAGGTTTGCTCAGAGGTGAATAACATTACGTTTTGTGAGGAAAAATATTCCAGGCACAAAAATGGAGGCATTAGTGAGGTTGAAAGCAAAACCACGTTTACTTTATCTTTAATTCAAGAAAATATATATGTTAGATATGTTAACCTGTAATTATGACTTAACATATCATCATTATGAGAAAACCCTGAATGAACTCTGCGGTAGTGTTGTGCGAAACTGCAAATTTTGGTATCAATGCCATACCAAGTAAATACAAGGCCAATATTACGGATACCAAAAACAATACTAATGTTTTTCACATATAACGGCATCTTATGTAGGGGACAGCAGTGTGTCATTAGTACTGATCCAGTATCAGTGTAGGTATCGATATTGGCCTGATCTGCCCACTTCTACCCTGCACCATCAGGTACACCCGGGCCTAAAACAGACCTACTGTGATCACTTCCAGCTCCTCCAGAGCAGCTTTGAATGATTTTGATTACAAAATAATGCTTACTTATCCTCTATTGAGCCAGGTTGCTTACACTGACCAATTTATTATTGCTCAGTATATGTACGTGAAACTTTGGCTATTTTAAACGAGTTTTCTCATTTTTAAAGCCTTGTTTTATATGTGCATCATTTCCCCCCAACCAATCTGGACCTCACATATTTCTCCACTAGACTTTAACAATAAATGACTTTTATGTTACAGCTGTTGCAAATTTTGCTTCCACAATACACAGTACTTGCTGACACCAATATCTCACACATCAACGTCCCCCAATGCCTGAATCCAGAGAACAAAGAAAGGCGAACTTAATCAGCTGTCAACGACTATTTCAATCACGTGATCCTGCTCTTATTCTTATGACAGCCCCTCATAACGAGTTCCTCCGTACTTGTATAAAAATACCACACTTTCAAGGCAGATTAAACATATAATGAATGGTGAAGGCGTACTTACTAGTTGTCACAAGAAATGTCTTTCCTCTTTAATAATACCTGATTACCTGGCTAAATGCAAATGCCACTTCCTGTAATCAATGGTGAATTCTTTTAGGTGAGGTTTTTAAACGTGTTTCAGTGATATGTTCAGTTTTAACAGAGCATGTAGGCTTGTGCTTTGATTTAGCGTACATACACGTCAGGATTACCGGATCACTCCTTACCTGATGCAGTTATTTGGGTCCGTGTCACAGTCGATGTTACACATGAACCTCTCCCAGTGCAGCCAGCCCATGGTGGGTTTCAGCGCCAGACCATTGTCCAGCGCCTCAGCAGCAGGACTCATTAAGCTGATAATTACGAGAAGACAGGCAGCTCTGCTCATTTTAGATTTTCAGCTCGACAATAGTTGTGCAGTGACCGGCAACAAACGACTGTACTTCTTTCACTATTCATTTCCTAGTGCCAAAGCCAGCCAGCCCGCCTCCCGTGGATGAGTGACACAAAGCTGGACCAATTGAATTAAAATGCGTCTGTTACCGTCCAATGACGTTGCTGGAAACCAGGAAGCGCCGGGATTTAACCTAAAACGCAGGTGAAAAACATGAAAAGTCAGGTGACACCACGAGGCAGGTGATGGTCTTGTGATTCACCCGAATACAAAAACATCGCCGCAACCACGTGATTAATTCCACACCTAATCTGGTAGATGGGGAAATAGTAAAGTTGATGCACATTTATAAGACGAAATTGGGTATGAAAACACTCTATTGTAGTCATTTTCCACCCTAACACTGTTTACACCGCTTTTGTCTCCAACAACAGCTTTTAAAAATAAGCTTCCATCTCTCATTTAAAATGCCTGTCTGAGTCCCGCATTAAAGTATGCATTGCTTAGGACAGGATTTCAGTTTCCATCAGTATGCTTTAACAGAGATAAATGCATGTGGGTAATTTAATGTAGTAGAGCACATTGCCATTTTTAAAAATCGCAGTTAACTCCTATCATCATTACTGTCCTGCATGGAAAGAATTTTTTTATTTAAAGTTTTATTACTTTGAGGTTGATAGTTTTCAGTCCGCTTAAGATCGAGTGGATTTGATCCTTAAAGAAACATATTCGAGTAAATTACCTTGTAGCATCAGGTACACCTGTGCACACTGCAGTGGGAATAAGTAGTAAGTGAATGAGTATTAACCCCCAGAGTGAAAGTATCCACTGCTTTGACTCCACCATGTCAAAACAGTGGTGCTGCATCTAAGTAGAAGCAACCCTCCAGAGATATAGCATGTTTTCTCCTTTGCATCTTTTTGGAGAAGGAGTTATACCGAGGCCAAAGGATTCCTCCAAAGCTTTGCAAGAATACTTAAAGACCAAAAAGCATCAAGGAGTGCTCACTGCCAACAGAGCTCAGTCCCACTGAACCATTATAGGGTTACCTGAAGACTAAAAAATTATTATAGGAACACCGGGCTTTTCGGTAACATTATGTTATCCATGTCAGCTCACTGTACACTATACAAAGACATTATTTTTTACCTAGATAGGATTTTCAGAGCACAATAACAGTGTGTTCTAAATTTGAAGCTGATGAAAAAGAGAAGTATATTTCAAAGTGATCTCAGACTTTTGGACCTCATTGTCAACTCCTGAGAGAAACAGCCTTAATTTCAGACTTTAATTTCTTCTGGTGTCATCCTAAATAGCTTATTTAGTTTAATGATTCAAGTAGCTGTCTTAACTTAATTGTCAGTTAAAACAATCTAATCATCTAATTTGATAAAAGATTTTCACTGGATAGTGATCAAAATTAGTTGCTATGTAAACCTTGGAGGTCTAGTTCAGGTAACTCAGTCTTTCAGGTCTTCCTACATACATACACTTTTCTTTTCTTTTTTTAATTTTTTTTTATTTGGGAAGTAAAGGGTAAGTAGATTAATCTAGGGAACCATCACCCTGTGCCCAAACTAAAGCCATGTTTTAATATAGGAGATACTCAAATGTAAATGAAAACCCTTCACCTGATACTTGCATTTTCTTTCCATCAGACACTAAGAACAAAAGAAGAAAAGGACCAATTTACCACATAGTTCCCTGAGGAGCCCGCCTAATCAAAAATGCCTCGCACAGCATCAGCAATAACGCAGACTTTGTACATATTGATGTTGCTTCAAACTGTGTATTAGCTATGGATGCGAGACACTAATTTGTCTGCCGCTGACACAAAATGAATTACAGATAGCTTTCTTAATTTAGAGGTAAACGGACACCCTGGTGCAGAATTAATTAATCCTGGATGTTTTTATTTGTGAAATCGTCTCACACACGCAGAGACAGCGATGAGTCTTGCATTAAATGTGCTACTTTGCTCTTTTGGAGAAATTTAAGGGACAGCTGCTACTGGTTTATTTGGCTGTCAGATCAGTTGTTTTGGGGTAGTTGCAAAGGAGAGGTGACATAATTTGAATCAGCAGACTGCCTGTGTAAAACCCCCCTGTGATCCTGCTGCTGACACTCCGTCTTTGTTGCTCATGACTCCTTGCATTCTGATATTGAGAGGAGTCAAAACAAATGACGCATCCCTGAGTTGGCACGCACCCAGATTATGACAATAATATCACCCCCCTGCTCCCCCCCTCCACCGGTGGGTGCATGTAAAAAGGGAGCATTAATGAACACAAAACATGACCTTTCAGCGAAATGTCAAGGGTGCCTATTTCAACCCTAAACATTATCAGAGGCCTCACCCTGGGACAGGCCTGATACAAACAATTTGTCACATGCTATAGTTCATATCAGAGCCAGTGAGCTCTAAATGTCAGATTTCAATTTGACTCCCCTCCCTGCTGATGGATGGGCCAATCCAGCTCATCTGAATACACAGTTTTCTTCTTGTAAAAATGGGATGTCGCCCCCGGTTGTGATGGAAACCATTGTTTTTTCACAGGAGCGCATAAAAGAGGAGCATGCCTCTGTCTTTACAGTGGTTAATGGAGGTTGTTGACATATGGGCAGCCCGTGCTTGCTGTCTGGTAAATATGGCTCCCCGGAGCTTTGACACCAATCCATCATGTTTCTTTCTTCCCCACTGTCATATAATTGAAATGACTGTCATGGCTGACTTATGTTGGCAACTTTGTTATGAAGTGTAGGGTGATAAAATAAAAGGCAAAGCTGTGTTACGGTGTGCCTCCTCACCACTGAGCTTCATTACTGTATTGATCTCTATGGGGACAGGTAGCAGTGCAAGTAAATGCCATCAGAAAGTTGTGCTCCCTTAAATACGACGACTAACACTCTATGGCTCACATATCCTCACTGGGGAATCATCTGTTGTTGTGTAATTAGGTGCTTAAGTTGTTTATGCCAGTGTCACAAGGGAAAGAGCCTACATGTGCTGATGTGGCTACTTTAATTAGGTCCTTGTTGGACGGGGTGTGTCTGAAACGGTCTCTGGTAATAACCTTTAGGGGCAAACTCATGACCCGTAAATGAGTCAATGTATTGAGTGCATTTTTCAGCTTGGTTATGTTAGTTAAATTCAAATCACTTGTGCAAACGTTTTTGTTAATGAAGTAAAGATTATATTAAGTGTAAAACCCAGCGTGTTTAATGATCAGAGGATTTATTTTGGTTTTTTGTTGTTTGTAGAGCTGCTTTCATTCGGAGCTCTCATGGCGTGTGACAAGTTCAATTCAATTCAATTTTATTTATATAGCGCCAAATCACAACAAAAGTCGCCTCAAGGCGCTTCATAGATACAGAGAAAAACCCAACAATCATATGACCCCCTATGAGCAGCACTTTGGTGACAGTGGGAAGGAAAAACTCCCTTTTAACAGGAAGAAACCTCCGGCAGAAACAGGCTCAGGGAGGGGCGGGGCCATCTGCTGCGGCCGGTTGGGGTGAGAGAAGGAAGACAGGATAAAGACATGCTGTGGAAGAGAGACAGAGGTTAATAACAGATATGATTCAATGCAGAGAGGTCTGTTAACACATAGTGAGTGAGAAAGGTGACTGGAAAGGAAAAACTCAATGCATCATGGGAATCCCCGGCAGCCTACGTCTATTGCAGCATAACTAAGGGAGGATTCAGGGTCACCTGGTCCAGCCCTAACTATATGCAAGTAGTCGATGTTACCTAGACTTGATGGAAAACCCATATTTTATTAATCAAACACATATAAAAATAGCTTAAAAATGGATTTAATACCCCACAGAGATTAAGTTGTTAGTTAAACGTTTTGTCAGATGATCTTCCATTTGGACCTTTGCAGAGCAGAGATGCCCAGACCTCCGTCTCCTGGGCCAGCTCTTCCAGGAGGACACCAAGGCATTTCCATGTCATCTGCAAGATTTAATCTCTCTGGGGTGTCCTGCTTCTATCCTAGGGCTTTCTTCTGGTGGGAGATGCCACCTCATAGTTGGTGCTGGGAAGACATCCTGATCAGATGCTTCTGTTTTTACCACAAGTTTAAGCTGTTTTCATAACAGCTCATTATGACTGAGAATTAGATGGTTAGGAAAATCTGTTCTCACATTATGTATCTGTTCATTTTGATGTTATTTGCTATTTCTGCATCACTGTTTTCTTTGGCACTTCGATTTTCTCTCCCTGTTAAATTTACCTCCGTTGTAGTTTCAATGTCACTGCTCTTGTCACACAATCCTTTGTCATACATTTTTGGAGCCAGTCAGCCTCCAATCCCTTTCCTTCAAATTCATTGAGATCTGTCACTCTCCCTTTCAGGCACTTTGTTGTGGAGCTCTTCTCCTCCCCATCTCCACCTCATCCGGGTTGCCCAGGGCATCTCATTCAAAGTCTCCATCAGCCATCTGCTGACTCTGTTCCACCAGTTTCTACACTCCAGGGGGTCTGTAACTATCCTGCCTTTATCTAGGATTTTACCCTATGATGTTGCTTCCCAATGTTTCAATTTCGCAATAAATTGTATTTTTCTTCCAAATGATTTCTCCTTATTGGAATAAAGCTGCCAGTTGAGGACTTATGAGCCATCTGTTTGTCAAACTAGACTCTTTGACGTAGTTGTCCTCTCACTAGCAGAGTGCTTCATATGTTTGGTTGAAATCTTCTGTTTTTGATTGGTTTTTGTGTTTTTTTTGTATTTCCTGCCTTTATTTCTTCATCCAACTGAAGGAAAGCTCCTCTCCCCCCATTTTAAGACTGCACATGGCTGATGGTGGAGACACTCAGCTAACTATAACTCTTTAATACTTTGTTAGTTTACAACCATACCACCCTGTGCATGCATGATCTCGGAAGCTTAGCAGGGTTGGGCTTGGTTAAAACGTGGATGGGCCTGGGAATACCATGTGTTCTAAGTTTCAGCTCAGGAGGTAGAGCAGGTCATCTACTACTATTTGGAGTTTGATGGGTCAATCCCTGGACTTCAAACATTTCTAACTAAAGAAAATTGGGGGATGTTGGCTATACTTCAATATTTAGTTATTTTTTAAAATTTAGGATATCTATAATTACCAT